TCTTTCTTTCTCTCTTTCTTTCTTTCTCTCTTTCTTTCTTTCTCTCTTTCCTTCCTTTTTCTCTCTCTCCTCCCCTCTCTTTCTCTCCCTTTTGGTTCTTCCTTTCTTTCTCTTTCCTTTTCTTTCTCTCCCTCTTCCTTCATATATTGGAAGGCTGCTCTCCTGTCTCCCCTGGTCCTTCTCTTCCCTAGACCAGCCAGGCCCAGTTCCTGCCACCGTTCATCGTATCTTTAATCTTCCAGTCCCCTCATCCTCCTGGTTGCTCTTCTCTGCCCTCTTTCTAGAGCCTCAACTTCCTTTTTATAGTGCGGTGACCAAAACTGGATGCAGGACTACTCTAGGTGTGGTCTTACTAAGGCTTCACAGAGTGGTATTAGGACCTCCCTTGATCCTGATTGTATCCCTCTGATAATGCAACTTAGGATTGCAGGCCCAGCCGCCTTCCACACAGGGACAGCGCTAGCTGGAATCCCAGAGGTTGCAATCCAGAAGGACTGCCTTGCAGAAGGTGATTGAGTTTAAGGGCTGTCTCTCGAAGAGACAGGTGATGAAACAGGGCTGGATGTTTTCCAGCGCCAGGACAAGCCCAAAGGTGGTTCTTTGTTTGGCTGAAAATCAGTTTCCGGCTCCCTGGGGGCGCATCCGCCAAGCGCCTCCCCTCCCCTCCCTCTGACCTTTGGCCCCCCCCCCCCCCGTTTCTGACGCCCTCCCTTTCGCCAGCCAGATGTGTAGGATCACAACTCTCATCCTTCCCCGCAGGCCCCGGGGCCCTTGCAATCCAGCGCATCTGGAAGCAGCCAGTGAGCTGTGAAGCCGCCTCGTTCGTTTCATCGCAGTTTCAAACGCCGTCCCAAAGAAGCCGCCGTGGCTGTTCGCACGTCAACAGTCCCCTCCCGTCAGCTGGGATCCATTTGCGCTGCTCCGCTTGGTGCATGGAGCCCCCTGAGCATGGGCAGAGAGCCATGCTGCTCTCTGCAGCTTCGGGGGGGGGGTTTCTCCTCCAAACCGACCCGCAGCTGTTTCTGCTAAATTTCGTAACAATAAAACCGGGGAAGGTCTCACTTGCCAGGAAACTAAACCCGACGGGTGGGGGGAGTTTGCATCACCAGATTTGGGGAGGGGGGGTCTTCCTGCCTCCAGAAGGGGGAGAGCAGGACCACAGAGGGAAATGCTTTGCAGTTGTGTTGGCTGGAGGGAAGAGGGGGGGGTCCTGGGGGGTGTGGGGTCAGAGGAGGGAGGAAGAAGGGCTGTGAACAGGGAAGCCCTCCCCCCACGGGGCCTTGACGCTTTGGGGGGCTTGCTGGCCTCCCCCTCCCCCCCATGACTGATTCACAAAGTCGTGTCCTTGTGTGCGAAGGGGGTCTTGCATGAGGGGGGGGGAAGGGGGCCAAGGACCTTCCTTTGAAGTCTGACCCCCCCGCCTTGAAGTCTGACGGGGTGAAAACCCTCCCCCCCCTCGATTAAGGCTGATGGATTGATCGCAATGGTCCTGCGGGGTCACCTGCTCAAGCGGGGGGGGGGGCTGGACTAGAGGACCTCCAAGGCCCCTTCCAGCTCTTTTCTGATGGATGGATGGATTGAGTGACATGGTGGAGTGTCTCCTGCTTGATCAGGCCTGCCCTAACTCCCCTCTGCCTTCTTTCAGGTGCTGGATTCGGCCTAGGTGTGGTCTTCTCCGTCATCTTCTTCAAAAGTGAGTGAGGGTCGTAGTCTCCGGCCTCTTCCGCATCTCATCAGCTTTTCCTTCCGGCCCTCGGACCAGCCCATAAGGCTGGGCAAGGGTCAGCACCCCCCCCACGCCACCCCTCTGCCCTGGGAGATACGGCCACCCCGGAGTCCTTTTCCAGGGACCCCCCGAGAGACCCTCGCCGCCACTTCCAGACGATCAGCCCGTGTTCAGGCGGGGCTTGGTTATCTCCGGGGCTTCCCCTCCGCCCTTTGTTTAGGCTTGCAAGAGCGGCGGCGTCGCCTACGGTGAGGAGGGAATCTTGGTGAGAAAGTACAGGCGGGTTTTCTGGGGAAGAGAAACTGGGCGCGTATCTCGCTCGGGGCGCTTGGTGTGCCTTGGGACGGTTGAAATGTTGAACTAAGCGCCAAGAAATGCTGCAACTTTGCTGGTTACGGGCACACGGCCCTGCCAAGCGGTTAGGAGACTGGCAAAGGCTTGGATAAACACCTGGCCGCCTAACCCAGCAGCTGGTACCCAGGGCAGCTAACCAATTTCGATTGGTGCTTTAAAAACAAAAAAGACGAGCCCTGAATCCGAAATGGGGAATGAGCAATATTCCAAATGAGCAAAGCCTGGTGAAAGAGATGCACCTCGGATTAACAGAAGGGGCCTGGGAGGTCTTCTAGTCCAACCCCCACCCCCCCCACCCGAGCGGGAGGCCCTACACCATTTCTGAAGAGTGGCTGTCCAGCCTCTTCTTGAAAGCCTCCAGTGAGGTGAAGCCCCCACAACTTCTCTTCCGCTGGTTGACTGTCCAGGTTGCTCTTCTCTTTAGTTTCCCTCTCTTTTCTCTTGTCCCGCCTTCGGGTGATTTGGAGAGTAACAAATCGAACCCCCTCTTCCTTGCGGCAGCCCCTCAAAGACTGGAATAACCTTCCCCGCTAGTCCTCCTCTTCCCTAGACCTGCCAGGCCCAGTTCCTGCAACCGTTTTTCATGGCCTTTAATCGTTTTAGTTGCTTTTCTCTGCCCTTTTCCCAAAGTAACAACATCTTGTTTGTAAAGAAGCGAAATTGGCATTAACATTAACACCGCGTGTCTCAAAAGGCCAAAGAGAGGGAGAGGCACCTCAAGGCAGCTCCAGCAAAGACTTCCTGGCTTTGCCCTGCTGGTCTCTATCTCTGTCCGTCCATCTCGGTCTCTCTCTGCCATCCCTTTTGCCCTTCCAGGCCCTTCTGGCTGTGGCGGTCAGGGCAAGCAGCCTTTCTGGGGCCTTGTGCTCCGTAACGGCTTCCCTTTTCCCGGCAGGAAAGACCTGGCCGCTCGCTTTCGGCTCGGGGATGGGCCTAGGAATGGCGTACTCCAACTGCCAACACGACTTCCAGGCTCCGTACCTTCTCCACGGGAGATTCATCAAGGTGAGTCAGAGAGGCTCCCTGGGGGAGCGGAAGGCCCGCCCGCCCGCCGGACCCTTTTCATTCCTCAGTCCTCCGGCGATGCCCACCTGGGGAATCCCTGCCCGTCCCGGGTGCCTTTAATCCCCTCCGTCGCCCAAGTTTACCTGCCATCGCAGATGGGAAAAGGAGGGCGGTAAGTTGGGGCCCAAATGAACCCCAACCAAGAGGTTCTCCCCCCCCTTGGGGGGGGGATAATAGCACACACACCCCTGACCCGTGTTTGCTCCGATTTGGCATCGCAAGAAAAGGCGTCTGGTTTCTATTGGATTCGGGAGATAAAAGAGACAAACTCCCAGAGTGGAAGTGGGAGGTCTGGAAAGTTAGAAACAGGCTTGGGGGGGGGGGCGCTTCCCTTCTTCCCTTTAGTCTGGCCTTCCCCTCTTATTGGTCCCATCCTCCTCCTCCTCCTCCTTCTTCTCTCTCTCTCTCTCTCTCTCTCTCTCTCCACCTTGGCTTCATTGTTCCTTGCCCATCTGCCCCTAATTAATTCTTCCCCCACCCCACCCCCTTCCCTGCTCCGTGCTTTCCCTTCTGGCATCGGTAGACATCTGTAGGGCAGCTGAGTAGGGGAGATGGAGGGGGGGAGCGCTGGCCCCCTGCCAGGGATTTGGGGAGGGGGAGGAGGCTTCGTAAACGGAGTGCTGGGCCCTCTCAGCTGGCCTGGCCCTGTTTCCCCACCCCACCCCCAAGAGGCAGGAAAGGGTCTTGGCCAGAGGGAAACTGCATTTGGAGACCCTCTACCACGTCCCCAAACAGGGGTCCCCAAACTTGGCCGCTTTAAGACTTGTGGACTTCCGCTTCCAGAATTGTCTCCTGCCAACACACCCCTCCCCTTTCGCTCCTCTTTATTCCCAATGGGAGGGGCCATTCACGGTCCACCTGTGCTTTTACAACCAAGTCGACCCTTGTTCCAAAGCTGTTCCCTTCGTCTGGCAGCCCTGTGCATGTGCACACTGGGAAGAGGCTCCAGCTCTTCTTCTGCCCCAGTGATCTCCAAAGGCAGCTGATAACTGTCAGACAGCTTTAGCCCCACCTCTGCCTCCGATGCAGAGCCCTTGTCAGAGCGTTCCCCAGACTCCAGGACTGGCCCAGGTTCCTCCCCAACCTCCCCCCTGTCCGAAAGCTCTGCTGGCTGGAGAATTCTGGGAGTTGAAGTCCACAAGTCTTAAAGTGGCCAAGTTTGGGGACCTAAAGCAACGCGGTTTTCGGGGGGTCCTTTGCCGGCGTGACGTGGGCTGCGTTTCCTCCACAGGAGCAGTGATGGGGTCCTGACCTTTCTGTGGCAGAGCAGCGGAGACACCTCGGCCTCCTCCTCTCCGTGGGGAGACAGGCACCCTTGGAGACCCGTGGACTTGCCGGCTGCCCCTCTGGGGAGGGGGCGGCTGCCACCCACCGCCACCACCACTACGCCTCCAAGCAAATCTCGATTTTGTATCTTCTTCTTCTTTGGGGGGAACAGCAGGGAAAGGGGCCGTTCTGGGAAAGGCAATAAAACGGACAAAGTGTTCATCCACTGTGTGCGTGTATGTGTGTGTGTGTGAGGGAGAGAGAGAGAGACCCTCCGCCCGCGCTCTCGCCTTTATGTGTCAAGCAAAGTGTGTGGGAAGGCCTTCCCGTTTGAACTCACAGCTGCGGCCACCTGCTTGCGACCTCCCCCTTAATCAGGCGGGACCGCTTTCCTCCTCCTCCAAGTTCGGAGTTTGGGTTTCTCTCGCAAAAGCATCCCTGCCCTAGAGAGATCTCCCTCCCTCCCTCCTTCCTCTCTCCAGCCGGAGCCTCCCGGGGTCAGGAACAGCCTCTCTCTCGAGGTCAGAATTCCCCCCAAAAGCTTTGGGCACGTGCTCCCGCTGGCCGTCGAACCCCCTCGCCAGGCGCCCCTCGAAGGCAGGGCCAAGCTGGCCTCGGGGCGTAAGAGAGACCCGGGACGGTTTTGCCCAGAAAAGGGAGATTTTTCAAGGGGGGAAAAAGTGTTGAGGGGATCCCGCTTTAAATCTGCCTCGAGTTTAAAGCCGGGGACTTCAAACTTGGCAAGTTTTAAGACTTTGTGGACTTCAACGCCTGGGATTCCTGCGCTACCATGACTGGAGGGGGGTGGGAATTCTGGGAGTTGAAGTCCACCAGCTGTCAAGTTTGAAGACCCCCCGAGTTAAGGAGAGAATAAACACTGGTCAATTGTAATCCAAAGTCGCCTCCGGCCGAGCACCCCTCCCTCCACGGGGGCCACGTCGCTCGCTCTGGGAAGGCCGCCCACAAGAGCCCTGCTTTGAAGGTAAACTGCTCCTGGAGAGGATGCTCTGCAAAGAATCCCATTTCTGAGCTTTAGCTGCTGTCAGCAGTTTTATTCTGGTCTTTTTTTTTATAACGGAGTCGCCAAGGAATGTATTCTGTTGCTGAGCATCAGGTCTCTGGATGACTAGCTCAGCCCCCCAGGGCAGCAGAGCGGTCCGCACAGCAGCACTTCGGGGATCGTCCGGGTGACATGCCTGAAGCGTCCTTCGCTGGGCCCTGCCAGCGTCCTAGGAGCAGGCACCCTTCCAGGAAGAGCTGGCGAGGGCGCGGATGCCTTCATCGCCGGACAGCCAGCACGGCGGAGACGCTACGTCCAAATAAGAGATGGGAACCTGATCAGCCCTCCGTTTCCTTCTCGGCGGGCATTCTGGACGTCGAAAGAGGCCGTTCTGGGCACGGGAGGGGAAAGGCAGGCCCTGGAGAGAAAAACCAGCCGCTCTCCGCTCGGCTCAAGCGCCCGAAGGAATGTTAAACCCCCCCCCCCCCGAGTCCCTCCAGCTCACCTGGAACTGATCACCAGTTTCCCTGTCTCTCTTTTCCTCCCCCCTCGGCCCCTTTCTTCTGCCTTCAAAGCAAGCTGCGATTCTCCCCTTCCCCTTTTAAAATCGAAGCCCACCCACCCCCCAAGTGGGGTGCCGGATGCCCAGAGAGGAAGCCAAGCTGGGGTGTGTTTTGCTTAACGACAAAGAGGGGCCCGGTCAGCCCCAGGCTCGCGCAAGTTCCGTTCGTTGGCACCCTCGCCCAAACCACGTTTTTCTCCCCTTCACCTCCGGGACGCCGCAATCCGTTCCAGAGCGCTGTGAGGATGGATGAGTTGTGGGTGGCAAAGGTCTGCCCCACCCCACACACACACCACACTGCCTGGTGCACAATCCCAGAAGGCTGCCTGTAGGAGCATTTGATGTTGAGGCTCTGGAAAGGGTGCATGCATAGAAGAGCAACCAGGATGATGATGAGAGTGGAGGCTCAAACCTGCGATGGGCGGTTGCAGGAACTGGCTAGTCTAGGGAAGAGAAGGACCAGGGGAGACAGGAGAGC